AAAAGCATCATGTACATACAGAGGGAGAAAAAAATATATATACGTGTGTGTCATATACATATGCATGTAAATATACATGTGGATATATATGTATATTATATTCACATACATACATATACCACACACACACACACATACACACGCACACGTGCATTTAAATCAAGCTTCCTTTCATTCTTCCTTCCTCTTGAATATCCTTTTTCCAAAAGTTAACTGCCTGGAACTGAATAGGTATTTTCCCATAATCTGCCAGGCAGAAATCAATGCATAGCTGTATAAATTGTTCTAAAGTGACAACTAATTTGTGTATGCACACACGTGTGTGCTTCTGTGGATGTGCCCAGACCACTTGAGAATACCTTTATTTCTCACCTAAAAATAAGGTCCCTCTTACCAGACTGCATTATGCTTTCCATCAATCTTTTAAAAACACTGTCACTCCATTTAATACGAAGTAGAAATAAATGATGGATTGATACTGTGCTTTTACTAGAATGAGCTGGGAAAAAAATACCTTTCAGGTCACATGGATGTCATTAACACTGATAATGTCAGAGATACCTTATTTATCCTAATTCTCAAAGTTGTCTTTCCAACACTGTCACTTGGCTGTCTTGAGGCGATATATAACCATTCAGGAAGAGCAGGATGCCTTGGAACCATCTGGTTTCCTTAAGACCTGAAGGCCCACATGGATACAGATCTAATTGCTTTCTTTTTGGTCATACTTTGTGTTTGTCCGTTGTTTGGTTGGTAATTAAAATTAAACTCCTTGCTCCCAAACACAGTTTATTCTCCTAGAGGAGAAAAAAAAAAAATTGTCACCTCATTCTGAGGTACAAATTTCTATTTTCAAAGTGACAACTGTATCACACGCCACAGGAGAGGGAGAAAGAGCCCACAAAGAAACACAACTTCTGATTTCTGCTTTCTGACATCACATACACTGAGAATGGGGGTGGGGGGGTCCATCTGTTCAGCCCAGGAGACATGGTTTAAGGAAACGCAATAGCACGCAGGGAAGAACCTGGAAGCAGTAAAGGTGACTGTAGCCTTGTGCTCTTTCGGACACTTGAGAGTCTTAACATGGCAGTGGCCATTATCTACCTTTAATTACACGATCGGATTACTTGTCAAACATGTATTGTAACTTACTCTTGTGTGCTGTGTCCCAATCCCTGTTTGCCATCCTATCAGACAGCATTATTTATTTCCAAACAGAAAAAAATCCCGCCCCTTCTTGAATGTATCGTGCTATCAAGCAGGAGAAACGCAAGGTTGTAGGAATGAAAATCTTCGTCCCTGGATGGCTTCTCGCCCCCTTCCTCTCATGCCCTCCGTCTCACAGCCGAAGACAGCCAGGTAGAGAACAAAACTGTACTTCAAACTATATTGTCAGGTAGCTGCACTGCAGCCAAGAGACTGCCACTGTTTGAGCACGTGCAGGGCCGCAGAGCCTCAAAAGACAAACCCTGTTTTGTTTCCCCCAAGGTGTTGTGGTTACTTTTTCATACTGTAGAACTGGGCAGATAATCAAACACCTACTGGCCAGAAAAGCGAATTACACCAGAGCCTAGAGGACCAAGTGAGAAGCAAACAGAATGCAGACAATTAGGAGTGCGTACCTTCTCATCTAAATTTTTCGGTTCCTGCAAGTACACCAAAATGTACTGTTGCAATTAAAAGCTGGGCAGAAATCTGCTCCTTTGTGAGTTTACCAATGATTGATTCTTCTTTTTGATTCAATATCTCGCACGTATCTACTCTGTGTGAGGCTTTGCTTAGGTAAAGGGTGGGCGCAAGGGAATACCAAAGATACTTTGTATACCAGCTCATAATCATAGGTTTTTCTCCCACTGAAAAAGCAGCTGCTCTGAAAGGCCTGCAGTGGACAGTTGAGGAAAAAAAGATACTTTATAATAGTCCTGGGAATCATTAGGAGTGCTTAAAGCAGCAAAGGAAATTAGAGAAATGAAGGAGCTCTCAGAAGTAGAGCAAAACATGCAGTCACCACCTCTGGCCTCGCACTGTATCAATTCTCTCTCAAAATAATTTTTTTTTTCCTGGCAAACCCCTTCACTGATGTTTTCATACAGGGTCTCTAATGTCATCACTATATAAAGCTGCAGAATGATAACTGGCAATATTTTCCCCTAACGCCTCTGACACCAGTTTAGCCTGTCTATTCTGGCCCCAAGGTTTAGTGTTTTCACTTTTTTTTTTTTTTTAAGGATGCGTTTGGTCCAAAGTCATTCAGCAACAAGGCAGCACATCAGGAGGCCAAGTTTCTTGAACTGGGATCTAAGTCTATAAGCACTAAAAATGGGAGAAGTTGGTTTTGGTCACCCTCTACCGCCTTCCCCGGGGAACGATGCAGGATGCAGGTATCTATTTGCTCTACCTGCAGGAGCTCTCCTTTCGGATGTGAAGCAATGAATCCCCCACACACTTCTCTCAACAATGATCTGGAAACACTGATGCAAAATTTATTATATAGTAAATTCCATTGTAAACAGTTCAGTTCTTCCTTTCTAGGCACACTGCAGCACCTAGGCAGGAAAACTGCACTGTTCTTTAATAGGTGCAAAACGATCTCTTTCACCCCCTCCCAGAAGCTTGCTAAATACAATAGCAGGAAAGTCTGCCAGCCAAGTGGCTTCTATTGTTTGGAGAGAAGTAAAAAGTGGACAGAGGCAGAATAATATCAGCTGGCTGTGGGCAAAAGCCCTTTTACACTATGTTTAGGGAAGTTTCCATAAACATGAAGGCATCCCCCAAAGGTATGCATATTGGGGGAAAAATTTTAAAAACAACTTTAAAAAAGTATTTAAACATTTGCATAGGCAAAAAAGAAAATATAGAATATGAATATAATCAGAAAAACCTGAGGTCTCTGGTAAGCCTCATTGTCAATATGCCTTTTATCAGAAGGGGGAAAAAAAAAAAAACCCTCGGATCAATTGTATTAAGGATGCCTAGTCACTGGTACTGCTATTTCAAGAGTCTGCTTTCCAACCATTATATCAGTAATCACCCAGACTTATCGATTAAACCAGGGAGTCAACACAGAGAAAAATTAGCAGTCATTTCAAAATTAAATCTCGCAATAATTTTGTTTTAATTGATACTTTCCCGCGAAGTTAATACATGCGTAGAGATAGGATACCAGCTCCTAATCATAGGCTTTATCCCATATGTGGGGATCCGTGCCCAATTAAGCAATTCAGGAACATCTAGGAAAAAAGAACTCCTCTAAAACACACTACCTTAATTACGACAATACAATAAACTCACCCTCACTGTTGTATCTATACGTATCAATTACTAGACAGGAGTCAGAAAAGCACACAGTAGGTCCACTACAGTAGTGTTACCACCACGCAAATGAATCACCTAAATGTTAAGTTTCGTTACTCCTCTTGATTTAATGGCGTTTCCTTACCATAAAAGCTGACTGTGTGAATGCTAAAAATGAAGTTACCTTTTTAACAGTCTCCTAAGATCTATCCTCACGCCCTTCAGATGCCGGTAGTAAAAGCAAGCTGCCGAATGTGTCCATCCAGAGCGGGAAAAGACACCGCTCTGCAAGGAAGCTGTGGCACTGCTCACGATACCGCATGAACATGGGGAAATTAGTTGTTAAAGCATCTGCTGATGATATGCCACGCAAGAAATTCCTTTAAATTTATATACATATATATATATATATATATATATATATATATATATATATATATATATATATATATAAAGGAAGAAGAACACGAAGGAAAAAGAAATTAGAGGAAAAGGAAAGACGGAAGAACAGGAAGAAGAAAGATCAAAGCCCTAAAATTACAACGAAGTTGCAAGATTACTTTTCCTTCTACTTGCCACTTGAAAAACTAAAGTTTAAAAGGCCTTTGCTTGCTGCGGCGTCCTAGGAAGGCAGCCACTCTCACAAACCCCAACTCATCTCCAGCCTTACCTTATGCTGCTAGCGCACACCCAGGGGCTAAGGGGTCCTGCTCTCTGCGGCAGCGGCGGGGGCAGCGGCAGCGACAGCGGCACATGCCATCTGTTAGCGGCAGAAGCAAAAGCAGCGCTGCGCGAGGTGGCCCCGGTGCCGGGAGAGCCTTTAGCAGGGGTGCGTACTGAATGCCGCCATTTTAAAGCGAGGCTCCTGAAATCATTAGATATAAGCAAATTAAAGCCCGCCCCACCTACAGAACTTCATGGCTGGGACGTGCAACCCTGCTCCGAGTCGCCGCTGTGGGGTGCAAAATGTCAAGGCCAGAGACACGCGCACGGGGACTCCCGGACGGCGGCGACGATCCCTGCGCTTCCCCCCCTCCCCGGCGCTCCCCGCCCCCCCCCCCCCCGCGGCCCCCCGGGCTCCGGCGAGACTCCCTTCAGGCCCCGAGGCGAGGAGCTTTTCTTTGGCTCCCCAGCGCTGGGGGGAGGGGGGCGGGGGGGCCCAGGCCGGGCCAGGCCGGCGCGCTGGGGCACAGGGGGCGCCCGGCCCGGGCCTCCACTCTCCCCCCCCCACCCCTCCCGAGCTCTTGGTTCAGTCCGCGCGGAGCACTCCTCGCAGCTCCCGGCTCCCTCGCGGCGGCGGGCGTGGGGTTCCCGCCCGGGCTAGTGGCTGCCATGGCAACCCCGGCCCCAACCCCGCCCGGCCTCGCCAAAGGCGTGCCCTCCACCCGCTGGCCCGGCCGAGCCCGCCGCCGCCGCCGCCGCCGCCGCCGCCGCCGGTCCTTCACACACACCCACTCCCGCGCCCCGCCCGGCGTCCCGCGCCCCGCGCCCGGCCCGCGGGACGCGTCGCGGGAACGGCGCTGCTGGGGGGCTTCGGGCGCCCAAAGGGCAACTGGCGCGCAACTCCGCCGGCCGGCCGGTCGAGCGGCGCGCGGGCAGCGGGAGCGCGGGGCTGGCCCTCGGCCGCCCGGCCCCGCCCCGCCCCGGCCAGGTAGCGCGGGCGCGCCCCGCACCGCCGCCGCCGCCGCCGCCGCCAACCTCACCTGGCTCGGCGCGCGCAGCTCCTGGCCCCCGCTGGCCGCTGCGGACCGGGCGGGAGTCGGGCGGCGGGCGGCCCCCGCTCCCGCGCCCACCGGTGCCTGTCCTCGGCCTCCTTCCCGCCGCTCCCAAAGAGCGCCAAAAGTCGCGCTCCCGCTCCGAGTGCGGGCACTTTCTTCCTGCAGGGCGCCGTTCCGTCGCCCAATGTATTCTTTGTGTGCTTCGTTCATTCGTGCGTGGTTCTCAGAGAGCGCCGCGCGGGCTTTATTCTCAGGGGGTGTGGCGCCTCTCCCCCCAGACCGGGCGGCCCAGCCCCCGCTGCAAACGCTCTTTTGTCGTTTCTTTATTAAGGGAACGGGGGACAAATCATAACGCTCAGGTTTTACAAAAGCGAAAACAAACAGAGCTCGCACACATCCCCGGCGAGGGGGGAGGGAGGCGGCAAAGTTTCCAGAGCTTCGGCGACTGGAGTGCCGGGGAGAAATGCCGTGTGGTTTGAAGCTGTACGCTTAGAGCCTCTTCGGAGACGGGTGAAGTGAGACAGGTAATTTCAAAAATGACCTTAGTCAATAAATATATGGGCTCACTGAAAGCCAAAAAAAAAAAAAAAAAAAAAAAATTACTCACCAGCTGCCTTCCTGGGACCTCCCTTCTATAAAAGCCCCAATCTTTTACTTCCCTTTAAGAACCTCAGACAGGGAAATGTTGGTCTGTGCCAATAGCACCCTTTCTTCGATGGAGTTTGACGGGTAGCAAGAGCCCTAAGGTAGGGTCCCAGACACTTGTGAATGGGAAACGGACAAAGCCACTGCCATTTTATATTTTGATTAAAAAACGTGCATCTGGGCAGCTAAATTACCAGTTTCGATCTAATGCAAGTGTAATAGGAACACCAGCTGTCCCTTAATTGGAGCCCCACAATGATAAACGCGTGGTTTTATTTAATTTTATGAGGACAATTGTAGTTGATAACATACGCATATGCGAGAGCCTCGGTGACAAGCTCATAGCAATTCATGGGCTGCGCTCCTGCCATGAACTGCTTCACCCCACTACAGAGTTCTACATGCTCTCCAGAAAGTGCAGAAAAACATCGCAGGAGATGTTGAAGTTGCAGTTAGGTAGAGGAGTTGAGCGAATTCTCAGGCTGATAAGGTTTTTTAATTCTGCCGGACTGATCCCAGTAGAATTCTCCAGCTAATTTTAGGCAAGAAATCAATGTCTGTTTGTTAAATGCCGGATAATAGGAGTGGGATCCTAGTGGTTGGAAGGAGAACACTGGCACAAACTGCCCTTTAAATAATTGAGACACCCCTCCCCCCAACGCATTTGGCAAGCATTGTGAAAGTTATCAGGACAATGTGCAGGGACAGCGCCTGATACTTGGGTAGTCATGGGTGGAATCCTAGCCTAAGTTGAACAGAAGGCAGGATTTTTCTAGTAATTTGCGGGGGGGGGGGGGGGGAGGGACAAAAAGAAAAACTGATTCCTAATCCCCTCTGCCCACCTCCTTTCGAGCTTGCCAAATTACCTGCACTACTCTAAACGTCAAACTGGGCTGACCTGTAAGGAGTGGCTTTGGCAGTCCAGGAACTACCATAACTAAAAGCAGGAGGTGTTGGAAGGGCAAGGCTGACTTATATAACTTTATACCCAATGATCTAACAAATGAGGAACTGTTATCACAGTGAGTCAACAAAGGAGTCTTTATGCTAAGCATAACTCTGGTCAACACCAGTGCGTTTACCTCTGTCCACCATTGCAAACCACATCTCCTGTGGGGCACTCCAGGTTTCCCTAATCCCACCCAAACTGGCTCGATTTTATTGTTACTGCATTGGTGAAATAATTGTTTTATTATAAATGTAAGGTCATAAATAGGTCAATTTGCTAGCTCTCGGGATAGCATAGCTTCAACCTATTCTTTTGCTGGCAGCGTCTGACCTGCGCAAGTTGCAAATGAGACTTTATTATTCTGTCTTGTCCACGTTGGAGAGGAAGACAGCCTTATAAACAAATTTTAGCCCCGTAAATTGCCCTCCTTATACCCAGGCTGATACGGCCTCCACAAATGAAGCTAGGCAAATTTCCATGCCACTGGGTCCCTGGGGAGTGTCCTCAAAGACAGTGGGAAATTGCTGTCACCTCCCCTCAGCACTGTAAAAGGGCTTATTTGCTCTTTAGGGTGGACTCACCTTGGAATTACTTTCCACTTTAGTAGTTGGAGCTACCCAACATTTTCTTTTCTTCCCCCTTAGGCATGATTGGGGGCAGGACCTGGGAAAAATCGAGTTGTGCACTGACTGAGCACAAGATGAGTTCTTAATGTATATACATTATAGTCTCTGAATTCTTTTTTTTTTTTAAGATTTTATTTATTCATTTGTCAGAAAGAGAGAGAGAGAGAGAGCACAAGGAGGGGGAATGGCAGGCAGAGGGAGAAGCAGGCTCCCCGCTTAGCAGGGAGCCTGACACGGGGCTCAATTCCAGGAGCCCCGATGCTGGACTCAATCCCAGGACCCTAGGATCATGACCTGAGCCGAAGGTAGATGCTCAACTGACTGAGCCACCCAGGCATCCCTAGGCTCTGAATTCTTACACTTGTTCCCCCATTGCATTTTGGGCTAGTCTCAGAACCACTATTCCTGAGGGATCTTCAAAGGTAAGTACCTCCCAACACCTGGATTTAAATTTTCAGTTCTGTCCCTCTGCCCCAGCCAGTCAAACAGAGGTGTACAAAGCAAAGGTTTAATATACACTCAGGGAACACGCTCCCGTACTCTCACTATGTCTTAATGCTTGGGCATTAAGTAATGGACATTTACACAGACAGATGTAAGGCTAAAACTCTAGATAAGGATATGGCAGCCTCTCGAGTGACACATTCTTCCAATACATATAATTAACTTTGAGGTGGGAAAGAATTCTCAAAGTTACATGACGGTTTACTAACAGAAGGATTGTTATAATGCACAACCTAACGAATGTTGCTGTGTTTTCAAAGATGCTGGATGGGTGGGGATCTTGAACTCTCAATATATCCTACCAAAATTATCCTTTTACTCCTGTGAAGGCATATAACTCATTTATTATTCCTTTTAAAAGACTGTCAACGGATACCATTGGACATCCGGGCAGAGTCATGCTATGCCCAGAAGGTGAAGGATCTCCCTCCTCTTTAGAACTTGTAGAATTATTCTCGCCAGCCTAGCACTATTAACAAATAGTTAAGTACCCTTTGCTGCTACTCTGTTCTTGCAATGTCTCCACGGGCTAAAGCCCCACACCAGCATTTGTGGTCATTCCATACAGAACGCTTGGCCACTTAAGGGTGGTGGAATAGCTACAAGACATTGATTATTCATCCATTTCTGAAGTCTTTTTCTTTCGGAGTTGGGAATTGGGGGTTTGGGTTTCACACAAAGGTTCTGACTAATAAACGGGGTGGGAGGAGCAGAATTGGGTTGTTAAAAAGGTTTAGACAATCAAAGAAATGTTGGCTTCCAAGGTAAGCCCTTTGTACAATGATACAGACTCTGTTTCTTACAGAAGAGAGAAGGCAATGTGCTAACTAGTTGCATGCCAAAATCATTGCAAGCCTAGGTAATAAATTGATGAACAGTTCTCAGGTTGTAAAGAAAATTCCTGAAATTCGGATTTTTCTTTCACTTGGGCAAAATGTTCAGAATTCTCTGGACATGTTCTCATAAACACAGAAGACAACAGGAAAAACAATTATTGAAGAGTCGCATCCTCCAAACCACACTTAGGCCTGGTGGATTTATAAAACAATTTTTCCCTCAAGTCTTTGAAGAACTTATTATACAAATTATCCCTGAGTATTGAAAGGTATGGTTTGTTTCTTAGAATTCTCCTTAGAGGGAAATGTGGTAAGAAGGAGACAGACAAAAATTATACAAAAATGTAAGGATAATACAAAAGGTAAGAATGATATACAGAAGAAAAACATAGCCTCTTATCACTTAGGAATATGACAGTTATAATAGCAACAACTTAATGTGGAAATACGCCATGCCAGGCACTGTACTAAGCATTTTTTGTAAGGTAGCTCATTTGGTCCTCACAACAATTTCTATAAAATAAATATTATGTTTCCTTGTTAAGAACAGAAAAATGAGGCTCATCCAAAGTAACAAAGCGATTAAGTGGCTGAACCAGGATTCAAAGTTAGTTGTCTCTGATGATAGGGCTCATGCTTTCAACTACTACAAAGTACCGAATAAAGCTCTTATAGGGCCCAGTTGGACTTGAACTCAGACACTTGCTCCTCTCATTGATGTGGTCATTTTTTTTTTTTGATGTGGGCATTTTAATCAAAATGCTACTGATAAACTACAGCAACTTATTAAAATAAGTTTAAGCCTTGATCAAGTATTGTTTATCCCAGAAATGTACAGATGACTTCCGCCAAAAATCAATATTATGGGGGCGCCTGGGCGGCTCAGTTGGTTGAGCATCAGACTCTTGGTTTTGGCTCAGGTCATGAACTCAGGGTCCTGAGATCAAGAGGGCATGAGGCTCTGCACTCAGCAGGGAGTCTGCTTGAAGTTCTCGCTCCCTCTCCATCTGGCCCTCCCCCACCAAATAAATAAATAAATCTTTAAAAATCAATATTATGGCAACAATGCAGGACCATCTCAGTAAATGCAAAAAAGGCATTTGATAAAAATCCAACTCCTTTTTATGGTCAACATCTTTTAAATATAGCAATAGTGAACTACCTCTTTAACGTGATAAAGAATGTAAATTCAAAAACCAAAGAACTAATCTACCAATTGGAAAAACAAAGTCACTTCCCATAAAAACAGGACCAAAACAAGGGAGTTTTATTCATTTGTAAGTTCAGTGTTTCTGAGAAATTCTTATTTTGGTAATAAGGTATGAAAATAAATTTAGAGGTGAATATTGGAAAGGAAGACATTAAAGATAGAGAATATTTTAGACAACATTAGAATATACCTAGAAAAGCCACAGAATTAACTTGAAGCGTTTAGACAGAGCTACAGAGTTCACAAAATACAAGTTAAGTAATATTGGAAAGCCAATTAAATAATCTATCAATAAGCCAACAAAAAGGAGAAGTAACACATTTACAATAAAGCAAAAACATTAAAGTATTGGGGGGAAAAGTCAATATACACAAGAGTGTGAGAAAAAGAAATAATATGACACCATCATGGCAGAAATCAGGAAAAACTTGAGTAAGTAAAGTTACACTACATTTCTGAATGGGAAGCTAATAGTATGAAGCTGATACTTCTTCACTGGTTGATTTATAGATGTAAACAATTCAAATAAAGACATCTCTTATTTCAAAAATGATACCACATCAATTTTCAGTAACAACTGTACATGACTATCCTAGGGAAACAGATGTCTAGCAGAAGTAGCAAATAGTAGAATGTATTATAAATTAACACCAGTTAAAATGGCAGAATTCCGACACAAATCAGAA